ACCAGCCCCGGACCAGTGGCAGGGCCCAAGGGAGGAGGCCAGGTGGGAGAGGGGCGCCCATGGGACAGGCTGCACTCACAGACCACTGCCCGGGATGGCCTGTGGGGGGTGAGGGGTGAGTGTAGGGATGCAGTGGGAACACAGTGGGAATGGGGAGGTGATTGGGATGGGAATGCAATGGAGAATTGATAGGAATAGGAATAAGGAAGGGAATGTGGTGCGGGAGGGATGGGGAGAGGGATCTGGTGGGGATGAGAATGCAGTGGGAAAATGATGGGGCCAGGGAAACAATGGGGAACTGAGCCCAGGAATGCAGAGAGAAATGGGAAGCGATGGGAACAGGGAGGTCATGGGGGAAGCAGTGGGACGGGGTATCACGGGGTAGGGGCTGCTGGCACCAGCTCAGTGGGTCACCAAGGGCTGTGGGGCTGTGGCTGGGAGGGGGGGCAGGATGGCTCCGGCTCCGGTTGCTGTCCGTGCGGGAAGCCCCTGCTCCTGGGGCCAGGCAGCTGCACATGAAAGGGAATCGTGGAGCAGGGCCGAGCCACCCGCGCCGCCGGGGCATCGATCGTGGCCGTGTGCGGCAGGATGAGGGGCCAGGGCAGCGGCCAGGGGAGGCGGCAGGAGGCTCCTCCTGCAGAGCGGAGCCCAGCGGCCCCTCCACCCAGGGCAGGTCCCGCTCAGCTGCACAGTGAAGAGTGACGCTCCTGTCTGCCCTGTGCTTGCACGGACTGCAAATGTGTGCATGGATCCCACATGCATGCATGGATCCCACAAGCGTCCTTGGGCCCCACACGCACGCATGGACTTCACATGTATGCCTGGGTCCCACATGAATGCATGGATCCCGCACATGTGCATGGATCCCACACATGTGCATGGGCCCCACGTGCATGCATGGGCACCACGCGCATGCATGGCCCTATGCAGTGCTGTGGGTGTGCGAGCACAGCAGGGCGAGGGTGTAGGAAGGGCTGCGGAGGGACTGGGAAGGCGCTCGGTGCCGGCATCGATTTGGCTCGTCAGGGCAGCAGTGACGGCCGCTCACATCCCATTTGCGGCAGGGCCAAGCGCCGGCAGCTGCTCCCCCGGGGCCAGGTCACCTTGGCGTCGGGAGGGAGGGTGGATTGACAGCGCTGCCCCTGCAGCCGCCCGAGGACGAGAGCGGCCTGAGGCCGAGGAGGAGCCACCCGGCCCCAGAGCAGCCTGTCCTGTGCTGCCAAGCAGTCACTGCCCTCATCATCCTGGGTGCCCTCAGCATCCGCGTCTCCCCTAGCATCCTCATCTCCGCCCCACCCCGTGTCTTCATTTCCCTCAGCATCCTCATCTCCCTCGTCATCCTCACCACCCTGAGTGCCTCAGGCGTCCTTGCCATCCCGAGCAACAGCATCTTCCCGAGCACCCTGGCCTCTCTGAGCATCCTCCCCCTGAGGCATCCTCACCTCAGCACCAGGTGCTGGAGCCAGTGCTGATCCTCAGCTCAGGGCCTGCAGCACTGCCCACAGGCACAGGGTCAAGCCAGTGTCCCCCCCCACCATCACCCCACCACCTTCGTTAGCACAAGGAGATTAATTGGACGTGGTGAGTGACAATCCCTGCGGGCCAGCTCCCCCTGGTGTGGCGCAGCCCGGGGCGGTGTGGCATTTCCAAAGGTTAGCAGCAAACAAGGTGCTTGTGACAGCTCCCATTTATCTCGCTGGTGCCGCGCGGGTGCTAATGCGGCGCTGGGCACCGCGGCGCAGCACTGGACTCAGCCGGGCTGCGGGGAGGCCACCGGGCGGGCGCCAGCGCAACGTGCACGGTGCATCTGCGGGCGAGGGTGCTCAGCGAGCCCTGGCGCCGGCATCCACCCGAGCACCTGCTGCCCCGCAAGGCGTCCACACCTGCGAGCACAAGCGAGAGCTCCAAATGCCTGCGCACCTGCCCACGCGCCTGCCGCGCGGCTGTGTGTGCACGAGCCAGGTACCTCATGCACGAACGCAGGGGTGCGCGCACACGTGTCATGTCGCTGCGTGTCTCCTTACAGGCTCCTCTGCCTCTCGGGGTACGTGCACACGTCTGTGTTTGTATGTGTATGCATGCACAGGCACGTGAGGCTGTGCATGCATGTTGAGGTGCATGTGCACGTGAGCATGCAGGTGTACGCTGGGATGCACGCGTGCAGCGGGAGATGTGCACTGCGGGATGCGGGTGCACAGTGGGATGCACGTGCACAGGGAGGGTGCGTGCATCCGCATGTCTCTCCTTGCATGCCTGGCTCCGACTCCGCGTCCGCGTGGCCGTGGCCGTGGCCTGCCTGGCTCCGCGCGCAGATGGGGCTGATGAGTGGCAGGCTGCTAATGAAAGTCCCCAGGAGCCGAATCGGGGGTGATGGCTCTGCGGTGCCAGGGCAACGGCGTGACCTGCCGTTGGGGACACCTGGGCCAGGGCCAGGGACGCCAGCGGAGTCAAGCGGAGGCTCTGGCCTGACCGGGATGCCCGGGACATGGCACCGCAGGGCCACCGCACTCCCTGCGCCAGGGGAACCTGCCGCTCCGCGCCGGGGCACGAAGTGCTGCCCTCACCCCGAACAGACACCTCTCGCCGTACACAGGGAAAATATGCAAATGCAGCGGCTTTATTAACGCGCTCGGCACGCGCCTGCTGATAAATATTTCATAGCCCGAGTAGGACTTTGGGTTTTTTTTTTTTTTTTTTTTTGCTTCTTCTTTCCTTCCTTTTGGTTCCTTTTCCCTGTCATTCGTTTCCTGCCTTTTCTTTTCTCTGCTGCTGTTTTATTTATTTATTATTTTTAAGGGCTTCGTGGTGAGACAGGAGCTAGGGAGGGGGAAGCGGGATATGGGCCCCCCCAGCCTCCCCCCGCAGGTGGCAAAGAAAAGTGCTGTTAAGAGCAAAGGAAAAAATATAATAGAAGGGAGGAGCCGGCACCAGGCGAAGGATCCAGGGCTTGTGTGACTCATTGGACTGGAGGAAGAAAAGAGACTGAATGGGGAAATGAGGAGAGAAGCAGAGCGGGAAGGGGGCGAGGGTGAGCGGTGTGCGAGGGGTGTGAAAGGGGTGTGCGAGCAGATTGCAAGTAGTGTGCAAGCCGGTGCGCAAGGGGCATGCGCAGCGCATGCAAGCGGAGTGACCCACGGACGGCACCCGGCCTCAGCTCTGCGCCCCCAGCCCCAAGCACCAGCATGACACCAGCGCCCAAGCCTGCCGCCTCCCGCGGCGCCTCCCTGCTCCGCTTTATTATTGCAATAAATGTAGCCATAAAAGTGGCAGGGATCGGCGGGCGAGGAGAAAGCTTCTCCCGAGCTATG